CCTGCTCCCAAAGCCAAGAAGATGAAATCTCAGCACAGACCCACGCAGCGCTTCTGGCCCGACTCCATTGTAGCTGGAGTCCTGCAGACACACGGATCCCACTCCACAAACAATTCAGACAGTATGTAATATGAACACATTCTCTAGTCAAGTCAAGTCAAGTCAAGTCAAGTAACCTTTTTTATGTACCGCTTTATACAATACAGATTGTTTCAAAGCAGCTTTACTGTAATAAACAGGTGATGCAGACCTCATCAAATATGAGACAATTTCAGAATTCAATGACAACAATAGTGTCATTATTCAACTCAAGTCGGTTGGTTTAATTAAGTTCAATAACTACAAATTCATCCATTATAAATATCATTACTCCAATTGCGTTTCTATGGTGACTGAAGTCATTCCTGCCCCTGCCAACGAAATGGTGACTGGCGACTCTCTTTGTTTCCGTGGCAACTACCCCTCCCTCTCCCCCGCTCACTTTCTCGTCTCTCTTCTCTCTTCCTTCCAAGGTGAACCTGGACTTGTCCTCACTCTTGGACGGCGATGACAAGAAATCAAAAAACAAAAGAGGCGTCCTTCCCAAACATGCCACAAACATTATGCGTTCCTGGCTCTTCCAGCATCTCATGGTGAGAATTTCTTCTTTACATGATTGCCCTACAAACCAAAGGGAGGCTTGGGGAGTTTAAAATGCACTTAATTTCAATCATATCTGGTTCTTAATTTCATTAGAACTTACATAGATAAATATAAACATGGACATTTACTCAAAACGACTAAAAATAAAGGTATACCATTTAAATAATATCGTATAATACATTTTTTTGGTTTTCCAGCATCCTTATCCTACAGAAGACGAGAAAAGACAGATCGCAGCACAAACAAATCTGACCTTATTACAGGTGAACAACTGGTAAGAACGAAAGTGTAATTCACAGCAAAATGGCGCCATCTAATGGCCACAAACAAAATCACAAAACTTGTTTGCGATTTACACGTAGTAAATCCTGGTATGTGTCTTATCCGCGTCATTTTTCTCTCTCTCCTGTCTTTTGAAAGGTTTATCAATGCCCGCAGGCGTATACTGCAGCCCATGCTGGATGCCAGTAATCCTGACCCTGCTCCCAAAGCCAAGAAGATGAAATCTCAGCACAGACCCACGCAGCGCTTCTGGCCCGACTCCATTGTAGCTGGAGTCCTGCAGACACACGGATCCCACTCCACAAACAATTCAGACAGTATGTAATATGAACACGTTCTCTAGTCAAGTTTTTTGCGCTTTATATAATACAGATTGTTTCACAGGGAAATAAACAGGATAATAAGAGTATCAATAATGCAAACTTCATCAAATATGAGACAAATTCAGAATTCTGTAAAGCAGCTCTAAAAAGACAATAGTGCCATTATTCAACTCAAGTCGGTTGGTTCAGTTCAATAACTGCAAAGTTCATCTGTTCTGAAACGAGTTCAATTCAGCTATACAAAGTTCTACAGAAGACAATAGTATCAGTTGTTTCAGTTCAGTTGAATTCAGTTCTTTAATGGCAGATAGTATGCTAAATATTAATTGTAAAATAATTAATTTAGAGGTTTTAAACCATCAATTACTCTTCTATCAGAGTTAAATATATAAAATTCACTTTATAAATTTTCATGACTTTTCCCTGAGATTGTAATTATTTCTGTCACTTTTTCAGGCTTGAAATGGAATGGAAATGATAGTTTATGTAGTGAACACGTTAAACATAATACATTATAGTTTACATATAATACATTATATTTATCATATATATATAGATATACACTACCATTCAAAAGGTTGAGTTAAAAAAATTAAATAAATTAGTGCTTTTATTCAACAAGGATACATTAAAGTGATTTAGTGCATTAAGGTGAAAATATGAAAGAAATATTTTATTTATAATTTCATTCATAATGTTACAAGATTTCTATTTCAAATAAATGCTGTCTTTTGAAATTCCTATTTACGAAAGAATCCAGAAAAATATGAAAAGCCAGTTTCCTGAAAAATATTAAAGCAGCAGAACTGTTTTCAACATTGCTAATAATAATAAATGTTCAGCATGTTAAAATAATTTCTGAAGGGTCATGTGACTGGAGTAATGGCCGCTGGAAAACCAGCTTTTAAATAACAAGAAAAAATTACATTGTAATATATTTTAAAATAGAAAACAGTTATATTTTGCAGTATTACATTTTTACAGTATATTTTTGATTAAACAAAAACAGCCTTGGTGAGCAATAACATAAAGCATTTTACCAGTTTTATTTTAAATGGATGAGTGTTACTGACAGTTTACAATAATACCTGTTAGTTAAAAAGACGTGTTTGTGTTTCTGTGTGTATGTTTGTCAGATTCTCTTGGCATGGACGGCCTGCAGTCTCTGTCCTCAGACACCGCCACACTGGCGATGCAGCAAGCCATGCTGGGAGGAAATGAGGATTCCATGGACGGCACAGAGGAGGAGGACGATGAAGAGGAGGAAGAGGAGGGAATCGACGAGGAGGAAGACGAAGAAGAAGATGAAGAAATCGAGGGAGGCAGACAGATGGCTCGGAGAGATCTGGGCCTCAACCACAACGAAGGACTTGAATAAAAGATCAGATAGACGAAAATGTCAAAATTTACTTAACTCCTACTCATCCCCATGGCAACACATCTCAACACCTGAAGGTTTCCAGTGGACACTAAGTGCTGTGGAACATCCAATCAGAATGAAGAGGAGGGGCCTGTTATGGACTCGATGAATGAATAAAATTCATGTTAAAGTGAGAATTCGAAGGAGGACAGAAGAACATTGTACTGTATATTGGGCCGTTAGCCAAGCTCTCATGCATATAATCCATTTAAGCCTTACTTTGTTTAACATGTCTCTTTGGTTCTCAGGTGTCTTAGCATGACATAATGTCTACCCTCTTACAGTCATATTGATAACCATGCAATGAGTGGATGTTTTAGGCATGTTTCTTTCTTTCTTTTGTATTTTTATTTTTGTAGTTAATGAAATATTCAGTCTTCGAAGATTAAAAAAGAAATGCCTGACAGCACAATGTATGTACATTTAATAGTGATGCATTTTACCCAGACACTTCATATTTATTTTCCAAACTGTCAAAAGGCAGTGGCACAATCAACAAGGATGCTGTCCGCTGAAAAAAACATCAGCCTGGTTCAAAACAAACGCATGTTGGGAGACTCGACGCAGAGTGCCAAGCATCTCTTACACGTACAGAACAAATCTCTTGTGCCCTTCTGAAACCGCAGGACCTACAAATGACGTTTACTGAAGAACACTGCAGGAAAAAAAGAGACCTATTTACAGGTGCGTATCACACCCTGAAACGCCCCTCTTTATTTTATGTGAAGGACGAAACAAAAACTGTGAAGATATTTCTGAGCTTTTCGGCTTACTGTGTCTACAGATTTAATCACCTGTTTCTGATGTGATGTTTAGAAAAGACAGGATGTTTCTGAATGTTATTGCAGTTGGTCTTTGTGAAGTACATGTTTCTCATTATCCTTTTCTTGGTTGTTTTTTTAAATGGTTCTTCCAGAGCAAGTGATGATGGGAGCTTTTTAATGATTTGTTTGTATACATTGTTGTCATAATCTATTGTGTTTCAGTAGCTCATTTTTGATAATTAAAAACTATGACTCTAGTGGACCTGGGTGTCATTTTGCAAACTAATATACAGTATAGCTACTACAAATGAATACATGTATACTTTTCGCTAAATGATCAAATGATCACCATTAAAAAAATTAAAAACATTCTTCATTGAAATTAAGATAAAATAAAATAAAGAAAACTAATATTGGATGACAAAAAATAAAAAAGGTGAAACACTAAACTAGAACTGAAATAAAAAAAATACAAATATAAAAAATAGCTATAATAAAACCCAATAATTCAAGATATTAATAAAAAAAAACATGGTATATAAACAATGCAAAAATAACTGCTTTGTTGTGACAAAAGAGAAATATATATATATATATATATATACTATAACTAGATCTTATAGTGCATGAATATTGTCTTGTGTTATTTATTTATTTATTTATTATAACTTTTAGATTTAGTTGTCCAAAATCATAATATTCACAAGCATAGTTGTCCGTATTGGTTTAGGGGCAACACAACAATTGCAGTATCAATATCTATAGACCCAAGGCCTGGACAATTACTTAAACCACAGTGTTACTCTGGTCATAATTTTTGTAACCTAAATAACTATAACCTCAAGCTCTAGCTGTGAATAAAAATAAAACCTCATGATTTCCTGCAAGGATTTTTTAAAAACCTATTCAAGGCCACTGGCAACTGCCGAAGTCTCCACTATTTTTCCATATGTGAATATTTTTGGGTGACTTTAGATGTTATAAAACACCTTCATATGAGCAGACAACTATGGTGTCATGTGTAGGTGTTTAATTCATGTGGCCAATTCTGGATGTTTACTTAGATTGCAAACTCCTCAGTCTGAATGTTCGCATAGGTTTCTATAAAAGTTATGCCTAAAAGCTGCACAGTACGTTCAAATAAACATCTTCTGGGCATGAATGGGTTAAACAACAATCTAAGCAGCTCTAAACTTTGTGAAGGTCTGTATGCATCTGAAATAAGAGTGTTTGTGGATTCTTGTACATGCACTCTTGAGCATGGCTTCTCAGGCAGGGCTGTTCTGGGCAGGAGAATATAAATAACCTGGGAAATGACAGAGGCAAGAAAAGCCACATAACTGGGTACATTTGAAGTGGATTGGTGCCACAGGGCTGATGAGCATGTTAGGGAATTCAGTAGATCTGCCGTCCATCTCCACCCTCTCTCTGCTTTTGCCCCAGCAGGCTTAAAAGTCCTCTCTAACTCTTTTAACCCTGTAAACCAGCCCAGTATAGCCTCTCATTTCGCTCAGACCTCCTCCAGTACATAAGATCCACGCCAGCATCCCTCTCCTCTCCAGCCTCAGGACCAGTTTACTGCTGGATTGATCCACAATACATTCCTCCACTGGACAAGGAATTCATAAGGTATTGTAATTGCTAAGTTTTTTTTTTCCCACACTTAATATAGGCCTATTAACACTGCATCATTCTAAACCATAGATTAAAATTTAAAAGCTTCATACTTTACAGCCTTAAACATGGGGTTAGAAATTAATCCAGGATATTCCAGGTTTCACACTGTACATTTGTAAACAACAGGTTAATGTTTTTATTTGTATGTTTTGCACTTTTTTATATATATATTTTCCGTGTCAGTAGCATTGAATTGAAGGATTACAGGACGCTACCTGTTTAACATTCGAATTAATTTATTAAATTCTTATTTGCATATTGATTTGACAAATACATCAACGCATGTGTCACTGTTGTTGGGTTTAAAGTGCCCCTATTATGGGTAATGAAAGGTTCATATTTTGGTTTTGGGAGTCCCCAACAACAGGTTGACATGCATGCAAGGTCAAAAAACACTTTCATTGTCTTATAATATGCATTTATTTTTACCTTACTTGCTCAGCGACTCCCAAACGATTCGCTCAACGACGATTCATTTTCCAAACCCCTCCTTTGCATGACGCTAATCTGCAGTGATTGGTCTGATTGGATCATGCCTGTAATGTAATGCCTGCCTGAGGGCAGTGCTGCTTTGTGTTAGGGATGGGCGATACCACTTATTTTGTTTTCGATACGATACCGATATTTTTCAAGGCAGTATCGTCGATATCGATACCGAAAACCAGTCATTATCTGGTGTGGGATTGGTTCTGTCTTGCAACATTTGCGTGTGTTCAGATGAGCAGGAAAATAGTTTTATCCTACACAATTACTTGCGAACAAAGGTTATTCATCCAATTCAATGCATTTGCACGCATTATTATTATTATTTTAAATAAACAAAATCACTGGTAAATAAAACACACCTTAGTATCGATATTTTTAGTTTGAGTATTGATACTTTCGATACTCGCGTCAGTATCGATATATCGATACTTAGGATCGATACGCCCATCCCTACTTTGTGTACAGCCGTTACCGGGGAAACAGCTATTTTACCACTCCAAAAGCGGCACCTAGTGGCAATGAATTTGCATTTTTATTCAGACCAATGCGAAAAGACCAACAAGTGGGCGGGCAATATGCTAATGACATCAACATGAAACGCTTGGGATTCGTTTTAAAAACTACTCGTTTCAATGATTCAGAGTCAACTCTTTTGAGTGACATACTTTTTATACAATAACTTTATACATGGTGCACTCTCAGATTTAAAACTCTGCAGGATGTTTTCATTCTCTTAGAGCTGTGTTACACACTGCATGAAAGGTAATTTTCAAAAATACGTAATAGGGGCACTTTAAATTCCTTCCTTACTTTCTAATTTGTCCTGAATAGATTTTCGGACCACAATTGTAAGAACAAAACTCTTAGTCACTCCAATTACATTTACATTTACATTTAGACATTTAGCAGACGCTTTTATCCAAAGCGACTAACTTATGAGGACAATGGAAACAATCATAATCAACAAAAGAGCAATGATATGCAAGTGCTATAACAAGTCTCAGTTAGCTTAATGCAGTACACGTAGCAAGTTAAAAAAAAAAATCATATAATAAATAAAAAGAACCCCCCCCCAACTGTACAAAGCTTATGAATATTTAATGAGGTAAACGCTATTCTATTTTTGATTGGTTGTTTGATGCTACGGAGAATCGTTTCAGGGTAGGCCTATTCCATGGTCAAAAATCGGCGTTAAAACAGTGTCAAACTTTTCTTTACTCGGGGTTAAAACGGGTTAAAAAGACGATAATTCTGATTCGTACGCAGTGTGTAAAAAGCACAATATTGTGTTATATAATAATCAAACACTTGTGTTAAAGTGGCAGTACATCAATGGTTTGGTTAATGCGAACTCGGATAGCTGCTAACGTATTTAATGGAAGACATAATTACTGTTTAATGGAATAATTTCATGGAAGGCATAAGTTGGTACTTTATCTTGTAAGTAAGACTAATCATTCATTATATGTCTTCTTGTATCTCTTGCTATTAAACCATATCATCAAAGTGCTATTTAATAAGTTAAGTTGTGCCTTATACATTCATATTGATGTTAATGGACATATTTTATGTAAAATGTTCATATGAATGACAGCACAGATGATTAAACCAAGAAACTTTTAACCAGAAAAATATTTTTGGTCTTTTCTGTTGCCATCCACAGTTGCTAGCATGTCTATCGCCAACACGGCCGCCCAGGCGATGCTCTCTGATGCCCTGCTGAGGGACAGTAATGGGGACAATCGCATTCGACACCTGGAGCTGGATTTGCCATTGGATAAAGTCATCAAGTTTGTTTCTGTGGGCCTGCCGCTCCTTCTGGTGTCCATGGCCTTTGCCAGAGAGATTTCTATCGGTTAGCAGCTCTTTTCTTCTCCCTAGTGTCTGTGCGAGAATCACAGGACATCAGAGCAGCACTGGCACTGCAGTAATTTCATAAACCCTTGAGTTAATTGACTGACCATTAGCTTGAGGGCTGGGCTGATGGAACGCTGGATGTAATTGGTGTTCATCTGAGGTGACAGTACTATCTGCACTGCTTAGGAAGGATAGCCGTGGTGCAATATGAGAATTAAGCATCTGCTAATGATTATTAGCAATTTATATGACATTGCAAACCAACTGGAGTTGCTTTCAGGGGAGAAATCTTTAGTGACTGGTATGGGTGCCAATTGCTGGCTATAAATGCCACTAAATTGAGCTTTCCTGCCAACAGTGCATTGGAGAGAACTGCCGGTTTTGTGTAGGCAGTTGACTTTGAGGTTGCAATCAGTTCCTCTGGAGCTGGTCTGCAATCAGCTCACACAGATGTTAATTGGCATGAGGATGATTAAGAGAGACGTGTAGAGATGACAAGGGTCTGTAATTACAGTCAGTCTGCTCTTTCCCGGTTCTATTTCAGACTAACGAGAAGATATGCTAATTAAAGTGAGACGTGCAAGGCAAGCAGACTGATTCTCCCTGCTTCTGATAGTGGTCTGACAACACTCAGGTTATTGGTTAGGATACATCAACACAAACTTTACAGTGGAAGGAAAATTGTGTCACATGCTAATGCAGTTTGCGCAAAAAAAAGAAGAAGAAGAAGGCAGAATAAATATATTAGGATCAAAAAGTCACCTAGCAAACTTTTTTTTATTTATTTAATACAATTTTTATTATATTATCAACATTACAAAAACCAGATGATCATGTTATCTAGCAAGACTTAAGTATGATCCAAAAGGCATTTTGAAAACCATGACCAAAGTAGTTCACATGATTACATGACCAATGTCACAAATGTATATATTTAGATTTTATATTTATATATATGTATTTAGATGTTTCATATATTTATAGTTAATAATTTATTTATTTCATATTATATAATATGTAATATATGTATTATATACTGTATAATTTAACTGTATAATATATGTGTAACATTCAGATAGATAGATAGATGTAATATTAATAACTATTACATATAATTTCATAGTTTTTGTTGTACATTTTCATTTCCAGGTTTAAATGAATAAGAAAAGCAGTCTGGTGTATTTCTTATTAATATAATAACATAACTTCAGTTACTTCAAAATCCTCCAAAATCTTTAGCCATTTATGTGTATTAATCAATATAAAAATATATTACATTTCATTTTGATTTTCAGTGTGGTCTCAAAGTTTTTGAGCCCACTGTATATTTACTGGCATAAATAGATTAAGATGGAAGCTTTTAGGAAACTCAGATGTCTATGAATATCTCTCCTGGTTTTGGTATCATATAATTTGCAGAGATGTCCGTGGGTTGGGGCATGTTGTGTTCAGTCAGTAAATTGGAGGCTGACTGTAGGTTTTGGAGGGTGACACAGATGTTTAAGTGGCCCATATAAAGTAGGGCTTGGCCTCCTCTCAGCAGCTGGGTCACACCCTCTCGCCCAGGCAGCAAAACTCTCCACAGAAGGGTGTTTCCTGCCTGCCTTTGTGGTTTCACCATCTGTATCCCTGGAAAAGATCTAGTGCTATTACAGACATGCCACCCAGATTCTCCACTTATACAGCATCAAGTGATGCTAGAATACTGTGATTTTGTCTCAGCATGTTCATTTTCTCTGTTTCTCCTCCCAGGCCCACAGATTAGCTGCTTTCCACCCAACAACTTCACAATAAAGCAGGCAGCGTATGTGGATACGTACTGCTGGGACTCTCTCATGCACCATGAGTTTGACACAGATGGGAACTTTGAAGAACGTTCACTGTGGGTACATAAAGTGAGTAAAAACATTCAGAAAATACATCACAAATGGACAGTGATGTATTTTTTCCTAGACAGTGTCATAAAATAGAAAGCAATTGGAAACATTGTTTTTTTCTCTTGATTTTCAAGAAAAAAAAAACAGTGATTTTACATGGAGTTTTAGAAGATATCTGAAGCTAAATCTATTCCAGTCTGCAGTCTAAAGCCACAAGTTTAAATATGAACCTGAATGTTATATGAAAAATCAGTTTTATGGCTCTGAATTTTACTTTTTCAACAATTATCTAATTTGTGTCCATTTTAATTATATCATACATTTGAGACAAATCTGAGAGATTAATACTTCTAAGAAGTTGTATAAATAAATAAATGTATTATTTTTATTGAATAAGTAAATAAACCTTAATACAAATATTATAACTAAATATTTTATTTAATAAGCAAATGAATATTATTAAATAAATAATATATTTATTTTATTTATTACATACATATTAATACAAATATTAAAAGTAATATTTAACAAATAAATTCATATAAATAAATAAATACTTGTTACTATTGAACTCAATGGTAAAATCTACAGTAAACCGTTTTTCTCATGATGGAACTGGTTATGGTTTTGCTTGTGCAGATGTTTCCATACTCCTTATTGGTCATGGCCATGATGATGTACCTGCCGGCTCTGATCTGGCGGTATCTGGCCGTGCCCAGCCTGACCTCTGACCTGTTCTTCATCATCGATGAGCTGGACAAGTCTTACAACCGCTCTGTCCGCCTGGCTCAAAGCATCCTGGACCTAAAACAGCACTCAGAAAACCCACTGCAGTTTCAGACTGAGCTTGAGAGGTATCTGCAAATCTGGACATTTTTTTTTTACATCTTTTGTTTTTCAATTATTAAACATGAAATCCTTTTATTTTTCTCTTTTTAGAGCCAAACGCAAGCGTTACTTTGAGTACCCCCTGCTGGAGAGATACATGCAGTGCAAGCATGGCTCCTACTTCCTGGTCAGCATGCTCTTCCTGCGAGGCTTCCTGCTCCTGACCTTCATGTCCACCTCGTGCCTATACCTGATCTACTTCCACCTCTCTGCCTTTCTACAAGACGAATTCAGCTGCTTCGTGCGCACCGGCCTTCTCCGTGACCAGCCCTGGGTGCCTGAGCTAGTTCAGTGTAAAATGACTGGCCTGCTTGTGTTCCAGGTCATTAGCGTAGCTAACGGTGCCGTCTATGTGCTGCTAGCTCCTATTGTTCTCTTTAGCCTGCTGCGTTTGTTCTGTTGGGACACAACCTTCCTCTCCCTTTACGAGGTGCTGCCCGGATTGGGGCTCATGAGCAGTCAGAAACTGGGCTGCCCGCTTAACGATCTCAACGTGCTGCTTCTCTTTCTGCGCGCCAACGTAGCGCAGCTGCGATCGTACAGCCGCCTGAGGGCCGTTTGCTCCCTCGCACCTCCTCGGCTGGAGGGTGCTAAGGGCGCGCTGATGGGGGAGCAGGCTGAGGAGGCTGCGGAGGCCGCCGAGGAGCTCGAGGAGGAGATTAGAGAGGCCAGAGAGGAGGGCAAACTCAATCTAGTAGACATCATGACTGTGCTGGGAGCAGCCAGAGGAAACGCAGTGAACTGTCCAGAGCAGCGCCCTCTTGTGGAACAAGACATGACGCTTGGTACAGTCACTCTCATCTATATACTTAAACGCATCCTGCTCGTTGCCGTTTTTGTGGCTGTCATATGGGATGTTCAGAAAATCATCAAAGTGACTTAAATTTATGATATATGGTGTTGGAAATCATTTGTGTCCCGACTGAATGTGTGAAAATCTTTTTATGTTAAGAGATAATATGCAAAAAAATTACCCATTTATAGCATTTAAATATGAGTCTGCTTCTCAAAGCACATTGGGTTTTTGTTTCTTAAAAAATGTGGCTAATATTTTTGATAACCTGTTTTACTGAATTCCACATTTAAAATCGGTGAAAAAAGTCTAATAGGCCTAATTCATACAACTTTTCTGGAAGGCTGGGCAATCGTTGCTAATATATCTAATATATATTACAAAAAATGTACATATAAGGCAATTTTATCTGTTCTAATGGAGGCTTTAAAAAATTCTTCATAAGTTCTAGCAGCTGCATTGTGCACTTTATTTTTCACACTTAACATCAGGTTTTCACCCAAAATGTATGCCCCTAACAGCACTCTCTGTCTCTTTACAGAGCCTAACCACCAGGGGTACCATGAATTGAAGGAGACTACAACATGTTGTTTTGCCTAAAGCACCAGCCAATGGACTGAAGCAGCACTGTCAGACTCTAGACTAGAGGGCCCTGTAGAACAGCGAAACCTCTGAGATGAAATAAAGATGAAGATAGACTAGAACATCCAATAGCTAAAACTCCTCCATTATAGTCCAGAATCAAACAAATCTGGATTTAAAATAATTTTAATGGATTTCTTACACAAAGCACCTCAGGAATAAGAACTTAAAGTCAGTACTGACAAATTTGAAAAGCCTCCAATAGTTAGCCTTCTTAAACTTCAGCATTTTTATCTTTATTTATTCTTTTCATTCTTATTATCTGATGTTTGTGGATTCCATGCTTCTTTGAAAACTGGATGCTTTACTTGACCTTTTGTTCTCTTTTGTAAGTATAGTGAAATAAAAATTGTTTGTATTTGTGCGTTGTTTGTTCATTTCCACATTACTGTTCAAAAGATTGAGGTCAGAAGAAAAATTATTTTTCAAAGAATTCTGAAGAATAAATATATCATGCTTTCCAAAAAAGGAAGGTATTAGTTTTTATATATAATAGTTTCTTGAGCACCAAATCAGCATATAAGGATCATGTGACTGCAGTAATGGCTGCTAAAAATGTAACTTTGCCATCACAGGAATAAATTACATTTCAAAATATATTACAATAGAAAATAGTTATTTTAAATTGTAATAATATTTAACAATATTACTGTTTTTACTGTCATTTTTAATTTAATTAAATTTTTACTGTTATTTTGACCAAATAAATGGTGAGCATAAGAGACTTCTTTCAAAAACATAAAAAATCTTACCTACCCCAAACGTTAAAAACTATTATATATTTTCCATAATACATATTTTTCATTAAATTAAATATAAGACTACATAAACTGAGTATAATCACGTTTTTATACCTACAGAATAGCATGACTTGTGCACTCTTCTCCTGTACCTTAGAGAGAAATATCACCTTCTCCTATGAGAATTAACTTGTCCCATAATTGTCAGACTTTCTCAAGTTTCTATTCCCATGAGAACTATCAGTAGAGCATGGCTCCGTATCTTATGTTTTAAAGATGTTACTTTCCCCCTTCTTCAATGTGAAGTTTTACTGTATCTGCTTAAAGGTTCACACATCCAAGCACTGAAAATGTGGGTTTGACGTATTGGGAGCGCTAAACTGAAAATACAGTACATCCATCTAAAAGACAATACGTTTGCGAGACATTCCTGTCAAGATTTTGAAGAATTATATATATAGAATTATATATATAACAAATTACCATTAGGCAGTACACAAAACCTGAAATATTTTGTATATTGTGGATAAATTGAGTGAGTTCTTTCTTCCAAATTAAATTCCAGTATCAAATTTTTCACTACAGCTAAAACACACCAAAGGCCAACTGTGTTTTCAGGATTAGAATATTGTTCTTAAACATCAGGTTGAGGCAAGTTATCACACTTTAAGGAACAGACATTGACTTTCAAAAATAGCCCCAAGTATTCAGTGGAGTAAAAGCCCAGCGTCCCTTACACCATTTACTATCATCGGCCTCTTCCTATTCTTGCTGTGGCTCGTTGAAAGTCTGTTTGGAGAGATGCTACCTTGTTCCCATGCCCAGTCCATCTGCTGCCCTCTCTGCGTGAGATCCATTTGCTCAGCACCAATGTTTGATCTCAAAGACACTTTATTCTCACAGTATGGCCACAGACAGAACCCGAGGAGGGCAATAGGCAAAACAGTCTGGATCTTATTGAGCAAGTGTAAATTAGATGCTAGTCGTTTGAATCTAATAAACAATTTCAAATCAGGCATGAAAGGGGGTCACAGCTGTGCATTTTTGCTTTACATTCAGTAGCTTAAACAAGAGCCACACTTCAAAGATCTACACTGAAAGGCTTTCTTGCAGCGTCATATACAAGGACAACAATTTGAGGCGGTTTTATTTACTGTAGCACTGATGGAGAGAAGGGGTCACTTGAGTAACACACCATTTATACCAACTTTGGTGACGCACAACGGTTTGCCCTGTGATCAGAGTTGAGTTAATGAGCCTGCTAAAAGCCAGGAGAAACTCAATTAGTTTGATGGAGTACTGAACAGCAACTAGTAAATCAGCTCTATAAGAGAAGCCTGAAAGGGCAAAAACAGAAACGCTAATTGGAAAGTCATTAGGCCTTTGGTCTTTATGCTACAGGTATGTGGCCCACTCATGAATATGAAACAGATAGGACTGGAAAGCATAAAAGGCCTTGATTCCTCAGACCTTTATAACGTTGATATTCTGTATTTGGTCCGTTCTAAATGGGATTTTAAGCTTGAAACTTGAAAAAAATAAAATAAAATACAGACTATGTCCACATGAGGGCAGGATTTAGTTATATATTAAATTTAGGCTACTTCAGATCAACAGAACTTAATAAATAATATTTTAGCACATAGGCACATAGCCTTCAAAGACAAGAAGTGTAGGATACATAAATGCAATTTAAAGGACGTTTGGGTGAATTCAGGTAAATAAATTGGGACACCACTGAGATGATGGAATAACCTGAATTCACCCTAATAATTTTATAAGATGAATTATGGCTGTAACACCCTAATTTATTTAGATGTTATGCCAGGATTGGTAAGAGCCACGTGACTACCTAATTACGTCATGACGTAAAAGGCAATAGGCCTATACAGGTATGTATTACATATATGTATGTATTATTCCAATGAAATATTAATTGATATTTAAATGCATTTTCCTTGTTGGCCTACAATTTTTATTTTGATTACATTCCCCACAGACAAGAACAAATGACCAGGGTACAATTTCTTCCAGAAGACTATACAGCACCTTTTTTGGAAAAGACTTAAAATATTACAACAAGGCTTAAAATAGTTGACATGAATATAGAGTTTTTGAATAATGAATGGTTTTTATGTCCGCAATGACATTTTTGTGTAGTGTGTAGCCTAGGCCTATTTGTATTTTTGTGTAAGCTGTAGGCCCATACTCTGTTCTACTTAATGAGAACCGATTCCAGTCGCAATTCTAGTTTTTCTAGGAGCTTCATGTGGCTCGTGCTATACAGTAAGTTTGTTTGATAAAGACCAGCGAAGGCCTGCAGGTGCATGATCGTAGCGAACATCGTTGTCGGCTTTAAGGTAAGGCAGACTTTTAAAAAGTTCCAACTGTTTTAATTTGACACAAAGGCTTAAAAACGCAGTGCTCATGAAGCAAGATGCAAATAAACAGCCAGATGTGTCGCCTTTGTCACATTTGTTTACGAACGCGTCCTGTGTGAATGGCTCATTATGATAGGCCTATATGATATCTATAATAAATAACAATTAACATAACATTTAGAAGTATCTTAAAAGAAATCTCAGTTCATAATCTTCTTAGACATTTTAGGGAAGTGTTAGCGAAAAGGGGACAGACTAGGAAGACAACAACTGTGCACTTGAGAAGTTTATTGTATTAGAATAGATTTATTTAATAATTAAATGAACAGCGTTGGGGAAGCTACTCTGAAACTGTAGCTTGATAAGCTACAAGCTACTCAGAAGTTAAAAACGAAGCATGTCATTTTCATTTTTAATTTAGTTGCAGTTCAATGTATCTGGCATTGTTCACGGATGTCTTTGCATTCTTGCTTTTCCTCACAGTAGCATGAAAGAATATGCTAGTTCATACATATACCATACTACATTTACCACAAGTTGCACAAACCGAAGTGTCTTACTGTTGAATTCGAAGATAATAACAGTTTTAACTAAATATTAACTGTTCAACTAGAATTCTGTCAGGACCACTATCGTCAGAATGATTGACACTTAGCATACAGTTTGGTTTGGCCGTATGGTTCTGTTCTGTTGAAAAAACTCCCTGCCCATCCATACAGCTTGTCATGAATGAGCAGGGAGAGCAGCAATATTAACCCCCCCAACACAAACGATAGGCCCGAACCCCCTGACACAACGATAGGCCAGAACCGCCCAAACCACAACTGATGGCATTCTGAAAGAAGCATATCCTTCTGGAATAACAGAGACTGGGGCAGCAGCAACTTACAGGAGAAGGCAGCGAAGGGGTGCTCTTCTTTATAAGCAGCTAAGAAGAGCAGCAAGCCCCTTACCAGAGGAGAGTAGCAGCGAAGGGGTGCTCTTCTTTATAAGCAGCTAAGAAGAGCAGCAAGCCCCTTTAATG